CATGGAAAGAAGGATAAAACAGGCCGTGCATGTTTTCATAAGAAAGTGCTTAGCCATCAAAGTTTTGCATTTATTCCACACAAGCTCAATTCCTTTCCACAGCCACATATCAAATGCTGGTTCTTCATCCTCGAGGACACCATGAGGAGCTCGCCGCGCACTAGACACAATGGTGTGCATTAGACATGACCGAACATTATGCCCGTTTCTCCATTCAGCTCACATCAAAACTGCTGCTATGACAACCACACAATCAAAACACCAAACATCCTCTCCAAAGCAAATAAAATCATTTCTTCAAAGCGGACCAGGGGTCGTACAGCTGCCTACAATCCCTTTATATCATGAATAAAGTGCTACAGTTATTTTAACATGGAGATGTTGGTAAATGTGTATTGCATACACTCTAAAAAATAGACCTACAAAAGCGGCCACTAGCGCTGTACCCTTTAGTACATGTTTGTAGCTAAAGAGTGCATATCAATACTTTAAAGGGATAGTTCACCTATAAACAGTGTTAGGGGTAATGCATTACAAGTAACACAAGTTAGGTATTAATATTATTTTCTAAGTAACGAGTAAAGTAACGCATTACTTTTCAAAATTAAGTAATAATATTTGAGTTACTTTTTTAAAAATGTAAACAGAGTTACTTTTTAGATTATTACACTTTTAAAAATAGTTTGCTGAATTAAAATGAGTGTAATCACATTGAATCACACTCAATGAGAAAATGAGCTCGCTGCGGGAACAGACAAAAACCAGAATGGAAGAGCTTCACATTTCACTTCACACTGACAACGGAGTTGAGGATCCACGTGCAGTACTTTATGAAACAGAGAATGGTCAGGCAGGCAATGGTCATAACCAGGAGCAAACGGTAACATATTGGAAAATCCTAAAAGCGTAGTCAGATAACAGGCAAATGTTCAATACAGACGACAGGAAGGACAAACAATAAAACAAGGTGGGGGTCAAAACACGGAGATTAAACACGGAAAATGCTTTGCAATGTTATAGGGTATATACCAACAAGACTCAGCAATGTCTGTGAGTGTGTGTGTGCTGTTTGTATGGTCCATGTAATCAGTCTTGAGTAGCTCCCAACTGTGTGTGTATGTAATCAATGGAGAACTGGGACAGGTGTGTGTGTGTGGTCTTGAAGGGAGTTGTAGTTCATGGTGGCAGAATTGTAGTCTGAGTGAAATTGAATGTTCTCCAGCGATCTATGAGGGTTAGATCGCTGGTGATCATGACAAGTATTCTCATTATATTGAACACATGCAGGAAAAGGGCAAAGTCTCATTGGACAGTGATTTTACTGAACAAAAAAGACAAAAATACAGCAAAGTAGGAAACACATTTAACTTTCATTAATCATGTAAATCGGCAGGAAGTTCTCAAACCATTATTAAAAAAATATTAGTTTTTTTAAAAGTAAATGAAGATGTAGGTTATACAGTGTGTCGTTAAATGCAGAGCTCCTCTATTTAAAAAAAAGAAAAATACCCTGAGAACTCTGAAAGAGATCAAGCCTCAGGCAGGTATGAAAAAGTAATGCAAAAGTAACTCAAAAGTAATGTAGCGCATAAAAAGTGATGCAACTAGTTGTTTTTTTGGGGGGAGTAAACTAATATTAATGGATTACTTTCAAAAGTAACTTTCCCCAACACTGCCCATAAATGAAAATTCATCATCATTTGTCTCCACTTTTTTTGAATTTTACTACTATGGATGCCAGTGGCTACCGGTTTTCAACATTCTTCAAATTATCTTCTATAGACCCTTTTCACTTTTCTGGGTTTCTTAGTAGTGGAAGGTGTTATAGCTGGGTAAACTAAGAGCGCAGTGAATGGGAGAGTACACTAAATATTTTTTTTACACTCCTATTTGCTGAAATAATAAAAGAAAAACTCCTCGATGGTGTTTTCAAGACTTTCAAAAAAATAAAAATAAAATTGTGAGACTGATTATGGCAGTCAGAGGGGAGAATATCATCACATTTACTCCCAGCCCCATAAACACTGCATTAAAAACATAAACGGTAATTATTATTATTTTTTTTGTAATTTGACGCAAAGATGACATAATATACACATAAATGCATATAAATTTTCTTTCTTTTTTTTTTTTTGAAAGTCAAAATAATAAAAACTTTAAGATTATGAAGGCCAATGTGTCATAACAGTCTTGTGAAAAGGGTCTATTGTTTTCAGCTGAAAAAAAATGTACATAGAGCAAATCTTCATTATTGGGTGAACTATCCCTATACAGTTCAGCTTTGTTTTTCTTATAGTGTATAGAAGATAATATGAAGATCAATTTAATTCCATAAAGTGCATTGTGTTTGACATTGCATCTCTGAGCGATGCAATCTCAGCTTGCTTCATAAAGGCTGCATCCAGATACTGTTGAAAAAAGTAACTAGTTGCATTACTTAGTTTTGGTAAGTAATGGGTTGCAATACTTTTGAGTTACTTTTACATTACTTTTTTGACCTGCCTGATGCTAAATCTCTTTCAGAACTTACATTTTTTTTAAAATAGAGGAGCTCTGCAATTAACAACACTCTGTACAATCTTCATTTCCCTTAAAAAAAAAACACATGAAAAATTAAAGTAGGATAATATTATTTTCGAAGAACTTCCTGACCCCAGAGCTCTACATTTCGTATATAGAGATTAATGAAAGTTTAAAGCAAAGCTGTTGCTACTTTTGTACTTTTTGTCTTATTAAAATGTAAAATCACTGTCCATTCAGATAATCCCCTTTTCCTTTTCTTTCATGTGTTCAAAATAAAGAGAATATTTCCATCGCAGAAATGTAAGGCTCTGCCATCTTCCTTTCTGTCTGTTCCTGCATTCTCTCATTGCGTGCGGGATTCAACGTAACAACGATTATTTTATTACAGCAATTTATTTTTTAAAAGTGAATTAATTAAACTGAAAAGTAACTCGCATTACATTTTTATTATACACTACATGACAAAAGTCTTGTCAACAATCCCAGTTGTAAGAGTAATAAGTAATAACTTGACTTCTAGTTGATAATTTGGAGAAGTGGCAGAAGGTCGATTTTTCTGATAAATCATCTGTCAAAATGCATCCCAATCATCACAAAAACTGCAGAAGATCTACTGGAACCAGCATGGACACAATATTCTTACAGTAATCAGTCAAATTTGGTGAAGGAAAAATAATGGTTTGGGGTTACAGTCGGTGTGGGGGCCGTGCGAGAGATCTCCATAGTGGATGGCAATATCAACAGCCCGAGGTTTTAAGACATTTGTGCTGCCCACTACATTACAAACCACAGGAAAGGGCAAATTCTTCAGCAGGATAGCGCTCTCTCATACTTCAGCCTCCACAATAAAGTTACTGAAAGCAAAAAAGGTCAAGGTGCCCCAGGATTGGCCAACCCAGTCACCAGACATGAACATTATTGAGTACGCCTTGGCTAAAATGAAGGCGGAGGCATTCAAGATGAATCCAAAGAATCTTAATAAACTCTGGGAGTCCTGCAAGAACACTTTCTTTGCCATTCCAGATGACTTTATTAACAAGTTATTTGAATCATTGCAGAGATGTATGGGTGCAGCTCATATGAGTCATACACAATAGTAATTCTTTTTCCACTGCTGCATGACTTTATATTCTATACGATACATTATTTATGTTAAGTGACAAGCAAGTCAGATTTTACTGTCCTAATTAAATAATTAAAAGTAATGATCATATTTTATTTTGATAAAATAAGCATAATCTAGAGGCTTTTGCCTTGCGTATAAGTCACTTCTGATACCAAATGATCAACTAGAGGTTATTATTTGCTCTTCCTAAAACTTGGAATTATTAGACCCCCTGTTTATTTTTTCCACTTTTCTGTTTAACAGAGAGAAGATTTTTTAAACATTTTTTAACATAATAGTTTTGATAACTCATTTCTAATAACTGATTTATTTTATCTTCGCCATGATGACAGTAAATAATATTTGAATATTTGAATAAGATATTTTTAAAGACACTTCTATACAGCTTAAATTGACATTTAAAGGCTTAACTAGGTTAATTAGATTAACTAGGCAGGTTAGGGTAATTAGGCAAGTTATTGTATAACAGTTGTTTGTTCTGTAGACAGTCAAAAAATTGCTTAAAGGGGCTAATAATTTGAACCTTAAAAAAGTTTCATAAAAAATTTAAACACTGCTTTTGTTTTAGATGAAATAAAACAAATGAGACTGTCCAGAAGAAAAAAATTATCAGACATAATGTGAAAATTTTCTTGTTCTGTTAAACATTATTTGAAAAAAAAAAAAAAAAAAAAAAAAAAATATATATATATATATATATATATATATATATATATATATATATATATATATATATACCCTATAACCGTAATGTAAATGAACACAGAAAGAATGAAGGCTACTTTACATTATGTCTTTTAGTATAATAATTTTTTGGACGTATTTTAGTACATAAATGAAGTTTAAATGATATAAATGATACCTTGACAAATATCTAATTATTTTTCATTTGACTTATTTTGGGCTAAATTTACACAATAAACATTCTTGAAGACTATTCCATAAACATACCCGTAGTTAACATGAACTTACTTTCAAGCAAAGAAAAAGAAACAATTTTGGTCCATTTCCCAAAAGAGACTAATTGAATGTTTACATGTTATAAATGCTGATTCCTATTAGCACTTCATTAGCATATCAACAGCCTTAAAGCCACCAGACATGCTCCAAATTTGATATAATGGTGTCTTTAATGAGTAACTTCCTTGGCAAAGCACTTTCAGCAGCTTCATTCTGTATTGCCATGCTGTCCTTTAACTATAGCTGAACCACTGTAATCCAGTAAGGAAATTCATGTCACTCTTTTTTTTCAGCAGGAAAAGCAAACAATTCATTTCTGGTGGCTCAACAAGATAACATCTAGAAGAGCTGCTTAAAATTCAAGAGGCATAGCATGACTCGTTATACTTACTGTCAGACCACCTCATGGCATCATCCAGTTGAGCCGGGATCCCTTTCCACAATGCCATGTCTTTTGGGTATCCGAGGTCCATGCGCCGCAGATGGTCATCGTAGCGCCAGTATCGGTTGTCCTTGAAGAAGTAGGTCTTCTCATTGTGCTGCCAAACAAACACTGCATCCACTCCTTCCACCGGCAGGCCGAAGTCACTGACAGAGCGGGGGTAGCCTTCTTCTACATTATTATCCTTGAACACCCAATACTTGCCTCCTAAAGAAGCGAGAACAACTTGCTGTCAGGTGGGAAATAGGTTTCTTTAGCAGCAGAGCAGATTAGAGAAAACAGTCCCGCTGTGAAATACATTTAAATGCTGTAAATACATAACACGCGTTCCTTTAACCTTGCTGCTTTTGAGCTGAAATTGGATTTGTGCTACTTAAATCTTAAATCCAAATTCAGAAAAGCTGAGAATTTTTAAGTGGTCTCAGTTTTTTTTTCCACAGCATTATATTGAATTGAACATATTTTAAGATATTTTCACACAATAATCATACTTAAACATGGAAATAGTGGTTTTTGTTTAGTTTTGTTTGCTGTTAAAATAGAAACATTATTTTTTAAAACTTGTAGGTTTTCAAAAGCCTGCATTTTCAGGCGCCTGAAAGACTGTTGTTGTGTAAATGAATGGTCAAAACACACGAAAAATCTGTATATGTGAGTTACGAGGACTCTTCATAGGCATAATGTATCTTATACTGTAAAACATTATATAGCCATACCCTACCTCCAACCCAACCTTCACTGGAAACCTTTGGCAAAAATTTAGGGCTCTAGTTTGATGGTCCATGCGCAGAGCGCAAAACACAGGGCGCAAATGCTTTCAGGGCGAGTCAGAACGCATTTTTGCTAAGTTAAGGACGGGAAAATCCGCTTTGCGCCATGGCGCATGGTCTAAAAAGGTTGAGTTTATTTTCTTAATGAGTTATAGGTGTGTTTTGAGAATAAACCAATTAGAGTATCATCTCCCATTCCCTTTAAGAGCCAGCAGCGTCGCGCCATAACGCATTTTGACGTAAAGTAAGTTCACTTTCGCTTTTGCTCTCGTGGATAGGGAAACCTTTACGCACAGACATCAATTAGCCTATAAATAATAATTTTGTTTGTTAAGCGCAAAGATTTGTTTCAAAACTATTTCTAAATTCAGTTCTAATTTCTAGCAAATGAATAAATGAACAATAATAAGCAAGTGTGTTCAAAATACTGAGTTATTTCCAAATACCCCTGCCATGCCCCATATGGTCTAAAATTTGACAGGTGGACGAATCTAAGCTTGTTTTTAATAAAACAAATATAAATATGGATAAAATAAATAATACTGCTAATAATAATAATATTATACAAAAGCAAATTGAATTAACTGAAAAAGCCTCCCGAGATGAAGAAGGTAAGGCAGTGGTTTTTAAATCTTCATGTAGGCTAGAAATCAATATGTAATTTGTAATATTTTAATCATCTATATTTATATCCTGTATATACCCTTATTATATATATATATATATATATATATATATATATATATATATATATATATATATATATATATATATATATATATATATATATATATATATGTCCTTAAGATATTATATATTTTTCAAATGTAAAGATATTTGCGAATTGCTCTGCATCTTGTTTGTAGTGTGTAAGCCAGGCGCATTTTACGCCAGACAATAGGCTGACTTTGTTCTGGTCTAAAGATCAGACTATTTACAGTTTCTCAAAATAGCAATGCGCCAAAACACGCCTGCTTTTTAAGACCAGAACGCCTATGGGCGCACATTTGAGCGCAAATGCATTTGCTATTTAAACAGTGTGGCGCAACACCTCAAAATTACCCTTGCACGCGAGCTAAAATTACCAAAAGACTATTGCGCCGCGCCTTGCACCACATTGCGCCGGGTGTATGATAGGGCCCTTATTGTCAAATGGTCAAAGGCAAAAAAATAAATATATGATTTAAGTGAATTATAAGGCAGGTCCTCGTAAACCACCTTACCAAAGCAACACCAAGTCATACTCATGCCATTATTCAATTTTGTGTCCTCACAAACCACAGGTATATAACAGGTTCTTTTTACCTCTGTGCTTTTGAGCTGAAATTGGATTTGAGGCACATCTTCAAAACATTCTTGCATTATATATTTGAAGGACATTGTTTGCTTATAGTCCAATTCTTATTACAAATGACATTTACATATCTCAACAGCGTTACGTTGTCAGTCAATCAGAGAATTTAGCCGAGCATGTGTGTGTGTGTGTGTGTGTGTGTGTGTGTGTGTGTGTGTGTGTTTATGCTGCAGGGAGCATTTTATCTAAAATGTCTGGAATTAGTACATAATGAGAAGGTCTTTTTTGTGCAAAATCATTTGAAAGAGCTTTTGATAGATGTTCTTGATCTCTTTAACTGTGAACTTTTCTTAGATTACTGACTGCCAAAAGCAACAAAAACACAGTATTAAACTGGATATTTTCTGCACTAAATATGTTGTGCAAAACTCAACACCACCACTCTAAAGCCCAATTCAAACTGCAGTAATAGATGCCAGAAAATGCAGACAGTGACCAGAATACTGTAAAGATTTGGACTTTTTCATAGCTGCAGATCTGATCAATTTCTTTTTATCCGTTTGTTAAGTGTGACGTCACTGTGATGACGTGCAGCTGGAAGGGCATCCACGGCAAAAAACATACGCTGGATAAGTTGGCGGTTTATTCCGCTGTGGTGACCTCAGTATAATAAAGGGACTAAGCCGAAAAGAAAATGAATGAACGAATTAAAGGCATGGTTCCTGCAAAAATGAAATCCTCTACTCACCCTCTACTTATTCCAAATATGTTTGAGTTTTTGAGTTTTGAAAAATGTTGGAAACTTGTAACCACTGACATCCATAGTAGGATTTTTAAAACAAATATTATGGAGTCTGTAGCCGTTTTCAACATTCTTAAAAATATATTCTTTTGTGTTCAACATAAGAAACAAACAGACAGATTTTTTTTTATTTTTGGGTCGAACTATTCCTTCAACTACTCCATTTTTTTCTAGCTCTCATAATGCTTTCTGTGATTTATGGTAGTAACTTCATTTAAGCTGTAAAGATCTCTGATTTAAAAATAAAAAACTGCATGATGAGGTAATTTTTGTTCTCCACAGTTTATCAGTTTAATGTTAAAAGACAACTTATTACAGAAATGAAAATTCTGGATGCACCTGGTCAAAAAAAAAAAAAAAACTAAACTGAAAATGCTTTGTAATACTTATTTATTATTTTTATTAAATAACAAAGTAGTTTTGAAAGACTTTTTTTTTAAATTGAACTTAAATTACAAAGACTCTTAAAAACTCAAGGCATTACCAAAACCAATTAAACTAATGTGCCGGGCAGTGACTTTTTTTGTTTGACTCAAATTTTTTTTCCTCATTCAGTCACTCAACCAAAAAATACATTTAGAAAATTTGGAGCTTTTCTACTTATTAGAATTAGCAAGTTACTTTTAACAGACTGTGAGTAACCATAACAACCCAAAACAAGCTTTACCACAGCAATATGGACATACAGTTAAAGTCAGAATTATTAGCCCCCCTTTAATTTGTATTCCTTTTTAAAATTTTTCCCAAATGATGTTTAACAGAGCAAGAAAATTTTCACAGTATGTCTGATAATATTTTTTCTTCTGGAGAAAGTCTTATTTGTTTTATCTCGGATAGAATAAAAGCCGTTTTGAATTTTAAAAAAATATTTTAGGGTCAAAATTATTAGCCTCTTTATATTTTTTTCGATCGTCAGAACAAACCATCGTCATACAATACCTTGCCTAATTACCCTAAACTGCCTAGGTAACATAATTAGCCTAGTTAAACCTTTAAATGTCACTTTAAGCTGTATAGAAGTGTCTTGAAAACTATCTAGTAAAATATCATGCACTGTCTTAATGGCAATGATAAAAGAAATCAGTTATTATAAATGAGTTATTAAAACTATTGTTTAGAAATGTTTTGAAAAAAATCTTCTCCCTGTTAAACAGAAATTGGGGAAAAAATAAACAGGGGGGCTAATAATTCAGGGGCGGGCTAAAAAATCTGACTTCAACTGTATATCGAATATATACCATACTGCCATACTGTAGGCAATACAAAGAGAAAATAACTTGGAGGAACAAAACACAGAGAACTCAAAAAAGCGTTGCTGACATACTTGTGATACTAATACATGTTAAAATAAGTGTAATGTTAATTTCATGTTGGATACAAATATAACACCATTTAAAACATACCTTTCACTCAATTTTAGATATGATGTCAGTATGGATATGAAGTATTTGTATAATGTGCAGCTATATTATTAAATTAAAAATAAATTATTACATATTGCTGTGGTTAAAGCATTTTAATGACACAGAGGCAAATAACTGAAGAACTTTAACAGACCATGGAATAAAAATTGATTTGTTCAACTCCTTGTAAATGAACTTGCAAATAATTTTAAACACTTTGGGTAAAAAATATTGATTCAATAGTGTTAAATCAAGGCATTTACCTTTAAAGAACACGATCTTGTGGTCTCCGGGCCTCTCGTATACAGCATCCACACTGTCCAGGTTGGCAGGTAGACCCCTCCAGAAGCGATGGATCTGCGCAGGCCGTAATGACACCAGGTGCTTCTCACGTGTCAGACGCCAGAAATACTTCCCTGATGAGACGTTTGACAGTAACAATGTGGGATTATTTGTGTTTATGTAAGCTTATGGTGTAATTATGCGCTATCGTATGATGTATAAGGGGTAATAAAGCGAGGAATGCGCGTGTGCCCCGGAGGCAGTGGGTAGGAGGTGCCCAGCTGCTAGAACCAGCCATGCAAATACAGTGCACAAATAATAATATATCAAAACACAGATAGCGCTAGTGTGCATCAGCGCAATAATGACTAAACCTTTTAACAGCAGTCTATGTTTGGGGAATTCAGTGTCTTTACATTATTATTTTAATAATCTGTTTTTTAATAGTCCTTTGAAATTAAAATTAAGTTTTTTAAGTTGTAAGTATCATTATTGTTAGTTTTTAAAATATCTATAAGCTAGTGTGCTCCAAAACAGGGACACAATTTACATTTAGAAAATTTAAAACTGATATAAATATGTGAAGCTTAGAGTTTATCACTTCCACCTAAATGGATCAACAGTTTTGGTTGGATCAAGTCATCTCATACTTCAGTTTCTCATCAAATCATAACCAATCAAAAGCTCTCTAGTATCTGACATGTTCCGCCCCCTTTAAATGCTTCACATTTAATGCGCTTGAGCTCAACACTTTTCACTAGCAGAACGTTGATAATGCAAAATGCTATTGGCTTATTTTTTTTAAGGGGAGGAGCCAGAGTATGTCCCATTTTTTTTTTTCGTGTTTTGGTTGAGCATCATAAAACATTGAATAAAAATGCACATTTCAAAGCTCCTTAAAGAACCTTTAATTAATATCATCAGTACTTTGATTTGCACATTAAAACTATCTAAAAGACATTAGAATTAATGTTTAATGTATTTTTACCATATCAATATGTATTGTGAATAATCTTTAGTCTTTCTCATCTATCAAACTGTCCATTTTTGTAGCATAATACTTGTCTATTAAAGCATTAGAACACACACACACACACACACACACACACACACACACACACACACACACACACACACACACACACAAATATATCTATTTATACATATGTGTGTGAGTGGAATGCTTTAATAAACAAGTATAATGCAACAAAAAATATATATGACAGGACACAACATTACTGAAATTTATTACATTTTAAATTTAAATTAATACTTAAAAAGGTCTAAAAAAAAGTCAAACTATTGATATAAAATATAACAGAAAAAAAGATGTTTTATTACAGATATTTTATGGGTGGCATGGTGGCGCAGTGGGTAGCGCTGTTACCTAACAGAAAGAAGGTTGCTGGTTCAAGCCTCAGCTGGGTTAGTTGGCATTTCTGTGTAGTTTGCATGTTCTGCCCGTGTTCGTGTGGGTTTCTCCCAAGACATGGGCTATAGGTGAATTGGTTAAGCTGTAGGTAGCTGTAGCTGTAGCTGTAATAGGTAACTGTTCATAGTGTATGTGTTTAAGCCCTGGTTCTCCAGGTTGGGGGTTGAGCTTTGGGCCAACTACCCACCTCGTAAAATGTTATGTTATGAAACAACAACATGGTGCGGCTAAATATGAACTTCAATATAAACGGCCCTGGGAGTAAGTAAGTATTACATATATTTTGCAGTTTGTACACACTCTAATGCCAATTACTGAAATGCTAAAAATTGTTGAACATATTCTATTAATATTAAATTACCTTAAGTCTGTTAAAATAGTGATTAACTAACTGATTGAAGAGTTATAATTTTTTAAAGTCTAGCTACTCAATAATAAACTAGTTGCTAAAAATTAGTTGAAGCTGGTTTAAAATATTTACAGTGTACACAAAAAGATATATGGAAGGCAACATTTGAAGTGGATCATCAATAAATCACTGGGTTAAGGACAGTTAAGGACAGTTTTGAAAAACTATTTGATCCACTTCAAATGTTGACTACTGTATATTATACCTCATTCATTTTGCTTACCTTTAAAAAAGAAGGCTTCTCCTCGAATTTGGGCTACAGCATCAAAATGGCTTGTGCATCGATCTGGGGCGTCACGGGCAGGTCTACATAAAAAAAAAAAAGGAATGAGCCAATGTTTTAATGACAGAAGAGGACAAACCTTTCACTATAGTAGAAGTGTTTGTGTTTCTACATGACTGAATCATTGATTATGGAAGGAATATTCGACGACAGACCATTGAATTACTTCAAATTTATGCAAACCCTGAGGTGGTCATATATCTTCAGCGTAATGCAGAATAATTTTAGTGCTGCATAGTTTAGAATATTTCCCAGTACTGGGTTGCTGTTGAAAAAAAAAGTGGCACTTCAATTGACACAAACAGAAAAAAAAATACTAAGCTAGTGTAAAACAGTTTTAGTGGACATGCGCACTACAGGCCAATTCACACCACACAAGCAAACAATAACAAACAAGTTGGCCATTGTACTTAAAAATTTTATTTATAAATTACTGTCATATTTACAATGCTCCAACAGTGGCTACACACAATAATAATTTATTAAATATTTATTTAAATGGGCGGTTCATTCTGCTGTGGTGACCCCTGATTAATAAAGGGACTGAGCCAAAAAGGAAATGAATGTGTGAATGATTTATTTAAATGATCCTACTCAGGGCTAAAAACACATGGTTAAAAGTCTGAGTTTGTTGCTGTTTGTTGGAAAACTGACCGAAGGCAAAAGATGCTGACAGGAGTAAAACACACTGATCCAATAAACTCAAAAAGATTTGTTGGTTGGCATTTGTCTATGCAGTGTGAATTGCCCTCATTTGTCAAGCCTTTAGTTAGCACTAGTTTCCATCCAAAAATGCCAATTAAATTGATACGCAAAACTGGAATATTGAATAAAAGACGTGTGAAAAAAGAAACGTTTTCATCCAATGAATCAAAATCATAACTTCCTGATAAACTGGCGCCAAATATCTACATTAAAAATGGAATTATTTATCGAATAAAAAACGTTTATCCTACTCAGTTATGCGCATGTGTTTTTATGCACATTTTTTAAAATTGATAACTAAACTAAACTAAACTAAACTAAACTAAACTAAACTAAACTAAACTAAACTAAACTAAACTAAACTAAAACTAAACTGTTTGCCTCACAGCTGACATCTTTATTTATCTAAAAAAAATAGTTTTCCTAAACATCTGCTACTTTTTTATCATAATTTAGCATCAGCAGAAAGCAACTGCTATACTTTATAGCCACTGCCCCATACATGTTTTATCACAAGTCTTTACAGTATATAAATATTTTTGGCAACCGATAGCTACGTGCAACCAGTCTTGGATGTCCCTATTACATGCTTGGTTTACGTTGGCCCAAATGAAGGGAGATGTTATCACCTGCTTGCAACAGAATCTCTTCAGCGTTTTATCCCCTCGCCTAATGACTGACTTAGCACTCTGACGTGGCCGGGATGCTAATAATGGAGCAATTATGGTGACAGAGCTGCTTTTGTGAGCTGGAACTCGCCTGACACTTTATTAACAAAGATCTTCATTCACAGCTTATTAGCTGAGCTCTCTGCGAGGAATATATTACTGACCTTTGTCAAACTAAATCTACCTGTCTCTCTCGAAGATGGAGAGAGAGAGAGAGGAAAAATAGAGAGGTGCGGGCAGCTAAACGCTTGCTTACCAGGAGTCATGAATTGAGTCTGTAATTTGTGTCATTCGAGCATTTGCTGAGTGTAGAGTGAATTATGAAGTCTGTGCAAAACTCTCCTCCAGAATGATGGTGTGATTTGAAATATTGAAGGCGTGCTGATAGGGGAATGTAGGGATTTGTGGATGCCAGACTTGTTGACTTACGGAATTGTGGATCTGTTTTCGGGGAGGTCGAGCAGGACGGGTGGCTCGGCTGTTTGTGAAGGGTCATCTGGCTTGAGTGTGTGTGATACAGAGTCCCGAACACCTGATAAAACACAACCAAAACTTGTGGGAATGCATAAAACACCAGGCATATTTGAAAGGAATGCACACTAAGTGCATTCTTGACTTATTGAGAAATATCGCACAGAGATAACAGCCTCCGAAAATGAGTTTTGCTGAACTCCGATTTGCTGCCTAACAAATTTTGAGTATTGTATTTTTTTAGAATATGAAAGTGACTTTGTTATCTTAGAGGTGTTATACGAGGACATATTTTCTTGAGCACAAACAAAAATAAAGACAAATCAGAGCATCTATTAATTGATCAAAAACAAAAGAATTGAACCCCTGTACTGTTCACTGTTCATACAATGATAAAGAAAATGCTAACACATTCAAGTACTAATTCACTAGTAACTAAAGGGTTACTGTCTGCCTATAATTAAGATATTGCCTGTTTATTAGTACTTATAAAGTGTGATCTTACTTCACATCCCTAATCCTACTCAATATCTAAACCCAAGTACCTTATTAACTATTAAGGGGTTAAGCAGTTAACAATCAAATCAGAGGATCGATTAATTGAAGAAAAAGTAATATATTACTGCTGTTTTGTTCACTCTTCATAAAATGATAAAGAAAATGCTAACACATTTGTTTAAGTATAAATTCGCTAGTAACTTTTGTCTTGTTACCTGCTTATTATGATGATATTGGCTGTTTATTAGTACTTCTAAAGTGTGATCTTATTATACATCTCTGATCCTTCCAATGAACTAAACCTAAGTACCTTATTAACTATATATAAGCAGTTATCAGAGATTAAGCAGTTAACAATCAAATTAGAGGATCATTGATTGAACAAAAATAATAGCATATTTCTCCTGTTTGTACTCGTCAACGCTCCCTAATTTCAGGGGATTCTCCTGTATTTTCCAATTCTATCCCGCTTTCATCCCATAAAGGCATTTTTTTTCATATTTCTCCTGTATTTTCAATGTTTCTATGAAAGGTGGCAATAAACATTAATGGATTGATCCTCCCTATACACAAACCGTACAGCCGAACCACCAGGGGACGCTTTTTGCTGATAAATGTGAATCTATTCTGTGCTTTCATTTTATTTAGGCATGAAAACACTTTGAAATAAATATAAAAATTGCAGAATTCATTTCCTTTCTATTACAGGCGCCATTGCCCCTCCTATGCAATCCTCAAAACAGTCAGTTCATGTAGCAGTGCATGACTGTTTCTCAAACAGATTCTGTACACGTGTTCTGAAGCAGAATGAAAGTGGACACTCTGGGTTTTGGGTATGTGTTTGAATAGACATATACACATAATAATAATAATAATAATAATAATAATAATAATAATAATAATAATAATAATAATAATGAGAACAACATCTAAACATGTCAATCTTGGTAGGTTTTCTTTTAAACATAACAATTTTTGTCTTAACCAGTTAAACGCTGCCGCTCTTTTGGGATTTCCGCCTGGATTTTGCCTACCCAAATTTAAAAGCCTCCCAAATCCACATGCAGAGGTGTGAATACAAAAAGTTGGTATCATTTTGAAGAAAACCTTTTGAATCTTCATAAACACTATTGAAAGTGTTTTAAATATCTGTATATGTTGTCTGTGTTATGATAAACACCTAAAAAAATAGGCGCTTTTTGTATTTATTATTATTATTTTTTTACTCAAACTTGAAAGTGTACCTTTTAGGTTCTGAGTGGTCTAGCGTGCTGTAATTTATTTTGGTGGTTCCTGCACATGTCTGTAATCATAGAAAAAAAGAAAAATGTCTCTACCATAATCTATGCAAAAGTTATTGTATTCCAACTGATGAGAGGTGCTGTACAAGCCACAGGGATCGATCATTGTTTTCAAATTTCACAATTCTTTTGTTTGATCAAACATAATTCACTGTGTTTGGACCACATCAGACATATAAAAGGATTTCTTATGCACATCACCTCAAAAACAGAGGAGAAATGGCCCTGAAATTCACAGCATAAGGTAAGAGATGACAGCTGTCTGTGCTATCTGGGGCTGCTTATTGATCATAAATGTATTGTTTTCACTTCTGCGCCATGGAAACACAGCGATTCATTCGGCAACTGTTTGATATGTGAATATAATTCAGTAAAAAGAATGCTAGAACCTTATGAGCACCGGCAAGTGCTTTTATTTGAGCTATAACTTGTACATGTCTTATATGAACCATATGAAAATGAACCAATGTAAAATACCCAGCTCGGGTATCCAAAATACTCTGTATTTAAGTGTAAATAACTTTTGTACAGTAAAGTAAAAACCAAAGTGATGCATATGAGCATAAAATATAGATTTTACACTTTCAAACGAAACCACTTACGGGGTTCTAGTGCAATGCTAGCCCTTGAAATCTTAAAGCGAAATTCGATGATGTCACTTTAAGTCGTTAAATTAGCATGAATAGTTAGGAAAGCAATTGAATGCTTTCATTATAGATCTGTGCATTTTAGAGTGACACCTCTGTTATTTATTGTGATTTAATGAAAAATCTAAATGAGAGATTCACTTGCTGGTCTTTAATCAAAATGTTTAAATTATACAGTGAAGAAAAGGTTAATGAGATTTGATAACTTGATTTGATTTCTTTATAATAGCTAGTCATTTTAATAGGCTAAACTGTTTGCTAATTTGTTTGCAGCTTTTTCTAATGTATGCTATTCATTCTATTCTTTGTTGATAATTAAATAATATAACATTACTGATTGTTTCAACTGTTTATTTACAATGAAACAGCCCCAGATTAACATATTTGGTTTGTTTTGTTTTAGGATTTGGTGGGTTATCACTTATTTTCACATCCCAGTGTTGACAGGTTTGCTTCTGTTATGTTCACTGTTCACAAAATTATAAAGAAAATGTTAACACATTAGTTTAGGTACTAATTCACAAGTCTAAAGGGTTGCTGTCTGCCTATAATTCAGATATTGGCTGTTTATTGGTACTTATAAAGTGTGATCTTATTCCACATCCCTAATCCTACCCAATATCGAAAACCAAGTACCTTATTAACTATTAATAAGCAGCAAATTAATACTTTATTGCGCTAAACATCTTAGTTAATGATTTGTTACTAATGATGAGATCTGTAAATTTCAATTAAATATGAGCTTACAAATGTATTGCAGCATGAATTGTTCGAGTGATGTTGTTGTTTTAATTAAAAGCTTGATGTATGATCCTTGTGTTGATTTATGGTCATACAGTGCTTAGCATATAGAAGTACGCCCCTCACAAATGTATCTTTTTAAATGCATATTTTTAATAGGAAGCTATACAATAGTACACTACATTTTAGTCAGTACTGAAGCCAAATCTGGAGATTATCTAACAAAATGAAACTAGTACACACAAAATTTATATGTTAAAGAAAAATATTAAATACAAATTTAAAAAAGAGGAAAAATCAAGAGAAGCAAAACTAATTATTAAATTATATTAGACACACATCTGATGCTTGTATTTGCACAAGCTCAACAACTTCACACATTGTGTTAAATTAGGTTGTCCAGTCTCAGTGTTCAGTCCATTGTGTCCATTGTTCAGCTGTGGTAACGGAAGCAACCCCGTGACATGAGACACCGCGATATGCCAAGAGAGTGGCACCCTAGCTCTAAAAACTATCGTAAAACATGCCCTTTTTTTTCTAAACGGTTACATTAATCGAGTTTGTTTAATATATTTTCAATAGTGGGAACCATTTTACAAAATAATGTAAATTTGAACAACTGCTTCACTTCCTCTTTAAAGCCACGTAATATAAAGTGTGATCTTTTTTTACCCTATTCCCCCGCTGTGTCTTTTCCGTGTTCATCTACTCCAGAGCTGCTGGATTTATGACTCGTTTTGAAGCACATTTTGATCCTTCTTCCCCTAACCATCTCAGTCTCTTTCCTTCCCACCATGTGTGTTTGCATCGGCGTGCGTCATTCTGCATGTTGATTAGCAGGGGTCCAAATCATGGAGACGACCAATTAATCCCGGTGCTCCCAGCCTGGCTCAACACAGCCATGTAATTAAATCAATAGTGCCCCTATACAAACCCAATCACTTCTCCTCTCTGCGCCCCTCGTTTGGGCCTGTTATTTGCCTGCTGGGATCACACAAAAGGGCAGTCGGCGGAGGGGGCATGCAGTGCCAATCACTGCCAATTACAATGAGCACTTCAGCTAAAAACTAGGTAATGCTAGTGTCAGCGGAGAACTGCTGAAGCACTTTCACATGCCAGTCACAAAGCTAAAGCAATGCATGTGCTCTTTCTGAAACAACACTGGACAAAATCACACTTGAAATCCCCCTTGATTTAAGTAGTTCTTAGTCATAATATTTCATACAATTTCAACTCTATTTTTAAAGTGAAGTCAAGATTGAACTTTTGCAGTCAGCTTTATATAACATTTAAATGATTAATTCAGCTAATCATATTGATCAGTTGAATTATATTTCTATGTTTAAGGCAGCAAATGAGCCTTTCTGCTATAGATACAGCCAGATAAAACAAATGAAAACAAATAAAGGAATCAAAAATTGAATATTTTATAAGAAGGTTTAATATCATATGTATTATGATTAAAAAATTTATAATATATTTTAAATTTATTTAAATTAAATTTGTTGGTGCACCTACATTGAGCTTTTCGCCCACTGAATCAAAAGTTTTTACTGATATGATGATATATTAAAATATATAACAATATTAATAATGTTCAGGAACACACATTTTGCAACATTATTCATTATTAATTAAAATAATAATAATAATAATAATAATTTATTTAGACTAAATGATTAAAACACACACACGCACGCACGCACACGCACACACACACACACACACACACACACACACACACACACACACACACACACACACACACACACACACACACACATACATATATATATATATATATATATATATATATATATATATATATATATATATATATAATAACCTATTAATCATATTGTTTAATTTTAAATAATTCATACTAAATATAGTTAATATAATATAATATAATATAATATAATATAATATAATATAATATAATATAATATAATATAATATAATATAATATAATATAATGGTTGTAATAATGCTAATGTTACGATCACCAGCGATCTAGCGGCACACTACCTTAACAAACTACAACTCCCAGAATGCACCCTGCAGACACAGGTTCCTGATTCCCACCAATTACACCCACACACAGCGGGTAACGCACCATGGACTGATATCCTGGACTATTTACACACCACACGTGCACACACACAATGCTGAGTCTTGTTAACCTGTAACATCATAAAGCATTTTTCTTTGGCCTAATCTTCTCTGTACCTGTTTTTGTTCATGCTGTTTGCAGTGATCTCTTTGCTTCTGACTCCAACTACTCTTCTAGATTGCCCTGTTTGTACCCGTTTAGATGATGACTGATTGACCAATGCCTGACTGGTTATTCTTGTAAATAGAGATGCTGCGTTTGGATTCCCAACTCCATTACCAGAACCTGATGTGACAGCTAACACATAAGTAATGACATAAATAAAACAGAAAAATATAATTTCATATAAAATAATTTTTATATACCAAATTAACATTACATGTATTGTAGTGAATGTGTTAAAATATAATAAAACAATGTTTGAATTTTTCAAATTTAATTATTTACTAAAAGAACGTTGTGATCAATGAGTCATGACAATGTATTTTGCTTTATTTTGACATTAATTTGATTCAACAGTTAAAGCAAATGTTTTTTTCATCAACTATAATACATTTGCCTCCAAATGACATTCTATCATATTCTAAATATTAATATGACATGATTAAATATTTATTAAATATATTATAAAATCTATAAAAAAGCATTGCTCTAAAATTAGGAGTAAGTGAACGATACAAACTAACTCTGCCTTCATAATTCATATCTGAGCACTCAGATCACACCAGCAAATCATAAATTATGAATTGCAAGGAGGACTATGAAAGTAAAATTGGCAAGCATGTTCTTGGTTTTACCAAGTTTTTAAAAAGTGAACGGCACTACAACAAGCATAGCTATAAGCAGACACAACTCAATCTTCATGCCATCCTTGTGTGTTTACTGCTGACAGATTACAGCTACTCTCTGTCTGTACGTCTTACAGAAACACTGTGGCGTCGAGTTGTCTCTACTTGTCACTTTTCACTTCTCCGGCAATTCCAAATCAACAGAAAACAGAAGCTTAGACAGACTCCCTGCACTCAGCACTTTCACAAATATTCTATACCAATTTTTGAGAAAATTACAAAAGGAATGTTCAAATATTAGCTTATTTAAACAACATTTACTTATTTTTTTAAGCCAACGTTATTAGTGACAGTATTTTAGAATACGTTTATTAAACTATATTTACAACACAGTGTATGCGTTATATCCAGTTTAGTTAAGAACATAAATATGTGACGAATTACATAACATAAAGCATTAATACAGAGAGAAGAATGAACTGACAAAAAAAGCTGACTGTCGAAATTACTAAACAGACCTTATAAACACACTCGAGGTGTCATTTGTGCATAATTTTATGTTGCTCTTTTTGAAAAAAAAAACATTAACAGAATTGGGGTAGTAGTTGGCTCCTTATTCTGTTTGCAGAAAGTCCAATTTAAGTGAACACCTGATCTGTTTTGAGTTTGGACAATGGACACTACATCTGCTTGTGTGTATAAGAGGTAAAGTTTTCTTTGTTTGGCTTTCATATAATTTCTCATTGCGGTGGTGCTATTGTAAACTCGCTTTAACCTGACAATGTTTAATAAAATAATCACTGTGACTTCACTGTGCCAAACAAATAAAATAATAAAAAGATAGTAAATAAACAATAAATAACAATAAATAAATAAAAAGAAGGTTTTAACTGCACACTTTACAGCGCCACCTGATGCATAAGTTGGTAGTGTTTTGTATTTGGTTATGGTATGTATTTGTTTTATTTGTGGGGCATAAGAGTAACTAAGAAAAATAAAAAATTTATTTCTTGGACATAAAAGTAACGTAGCAAAATTAAAATGTCATTTTATCAGACATAAAAGTGACACAACAAAATGTAAATTGTATTTATTGGATATAAAGGTGATGTAGCAAAATGTAAATTTTCTTTGTCAGATATAAAAGTGACATAGCAAAATTAAAATGTAGTTTTATTGGGCAAAAGTAACGTAGCAAAATAAGATTTGTATTTATTGGCTAAAAATTTACCTCGCAAAACTAAAATGTCAATATATTGGACAAAGGTGACAGCAAAATATATATTTTATTTATTGGACATAAAAATTATGTAAAAAAAATCAAATCTAGTTTTATTACACATAAAAGTGTCATAGAAAAATATAAATTGTATTTATCAGACATAAAAGTGATGTACAAAATTTAAATTGTATTTATCAGACATAAAAGTGATGTAGAAATATTAAAATGTCATTTTATCAGACCTAAAAGTAATGTAGCAAATTTAGAATTGTATTTATTGGCTAAAAATGTGACGTAGCAAAATTAAAATGTAATTTTATTAGACATATGTGACAAAGAAAAATATAAATTGTAATTATCAGACATAAAAGTCATGTAGGAAAATAAAATGACATTATATCGGACAAAAGTGATGTAGCAAAATATACAGTTTAGTTATTGGACATAAAAGTATAGTATAGAATATTTTAGTTTTAAGGTTTTTATATTTTATATGATTGCAGAACAAATATTTAGGCATTTGTGCAAAGCCTGAGTTTATCAAACTGACAGAAACAGGAGGAATGGGGCACATTTTCCTACCGTACAGCTGCCAGACGCGGACCTTGTCTTCGTATGCGAGGTTGTACTTGAGTGGGTCACCCACTGGACCCTGGTAATAAGGGCGCATGATGGACTCAATGGCAGAGGTGTGTGCGAGCCCAATGGCATGGCCAAACTCATGCACCGCCACTGCAAACAGGTCCATCCCATGAGAATCTGATGAGAAGAGCAGACTTTGCTTAGTAATGACAAAAAATGGAAAGATTTAGGGGGGGTTAAAATAAAACAAAACAAAACAAAACAAAACAAAACAAAACAAAACAAAACAAAACAAAACAAAACAAAACAAAACAAAACAAAACAAAACAAAATAAAATAAAATAAGATAAAATAAAATAAGTTCTGACATCATTACATTTATTAAATTGATTATATATATCATTTTACAGACATTTTACAATTTTCTTCAGGTTCATGCATTTTACAGTACTCCACACTGTGCCAATTTAACAGTGCATATTTAATACATAGTGCCAATTTAATAAAGTCATAGTTTTCTGATAATAATTTATACATGGACATATATTTTATTCAGAATTTCATACATTATAAATATATGCATAAACCCATGTGGTTAATAGTATATTCAGGAGGATAAATCCAAGTAAGTAAGCAAGCAATAAATAAATAAAAGAAATAAACAGAATTATACCATAATTATAATTATAAGGTAAATAAGAAAATTATTATTTTAAAAAGTGTATTGGTGGCCATTTTTTATATTTATCTCCAGGTTTGTGCATTTAACAGTTTTCTACATATATGAAAAAGACCAATTTAATAAATAATGTTTTCTTTCTATGTTAAATAATAAATTATTCATAGAAATATATTTTATTCATTTTTTATACATTATAAATACATGTATGTATGTAAATCCATGTGTTTAACAGTCTACTCAGAAATAATACAATTAAAATACACATGCGATAAAAACAAATATTATTTTTTTAGATTATAAATTATACATAACATATATATTTTATTCATAATTCTATACATTATAAATCAATGTATAAACCCTTGTGGTAAACTGTATGCTCAAAAATAGTCCAATATATATATATTTATATATATACTATAAACCCATGAACTTGCAAGTAATCATAATCATTACATTATAAATATACATATATAATCCCATGTGATTAACAAATCAGATGATTCTTTAGGATTTTTGAAATGGCAAATATGAGCACAGATTCAAACATTATTGAGAAATACATAATGTGTAGAACTTTATTAATCTGCACTCCATGTAATGTAGGAGAAAGAATTGAAACCGAACACAGATCTCTTTTGTGATATTTCTGTCCTATTGAACACCGAATACCTTGTTCCACAAGTATGAAGACATCCAAAGCAATTACGTCCTGGAAATCACAGTGATTAAATTGGGAATAGTTCAGGATGTCCACCCACATTGTCATTTTCAACACAATGAGCTGATGATTGACAGGGAGAACCGCGCCATTAAACGCTACTCACCTTTTTCATTATCTCGCTTTAGTACACAGATGCAGCCAGCCATAAAAACATTCACACTTTTCTGTTAAATGGCCCCTAGAGATGGCAACAACAAAAAAATACAACCGGAGCCAGGAATATGTCATCGGATTTTGTTGGAATTGAGAAAGAGAGACAAATAGACAGGGGGAGATCTATAGATAGACAGGGAATGAGAGAAAGGTGAGCTTACAAACCGTGAAAATGCCAAAATGTGTCACAGTTGCCTTACGCCGTGGGACTGTATAAGCAGAACACAGATAGTCAAGCTCCTCTGAGAGAAAAATAAGGAGTAAATTATGTTTATTTAAACTGGGGAGTGCAAAATTAACAGCATTAAAGTACGGAGTGCCACAAGGATCTGTCTTAGCCCCCCTGCTGTTTTCAATTTAAATGCTGCCCCTTGGTAATAGCTATATATTTCATCATCTCCATGTGAAATTTCTAAATTATCCAAGTTAATAGAGTGTGTTACAGTCATAAAAGAGTTGATGACCGGTATTTTTCTTTATTTTAAATTACATTTATAAGATATTATGGTAATACTTAACAATAACAGCACATGAATAATGATGTATTATAAAGTAAACTTGCTTTATTATGAATTAATGATGAGTTAAGGTATGCTCTAATCATGAATTAACTTTAACTACAACATGGGTCACACACTGAAAACACTAATAAGTTGACTAAACTAAATTGATTGAGTAAACTCGTTGCCTTAATTTAATTGAGTAATGGAGTCTCCTAAAACTTGAATATTTAAGTAACAATGTATGTATAGTCTACAAAACCGGCAAGTTAAATAAACTTAAATATGCAAGTTTTGGGAGACTCCATTACTTAATTAAATTGAGGCAATGAGTTTACTCAATTATTAAGTTCAGTCAACTTATTAGGGTTTTCAGTGTGTGTAATAATATACTATGAAAAAATGTTTAAATACATTTTAAACAAAAAATAAGTTGCCATTTATATTAAATTCATTCATTCATTCATTTTCTTGTCGGCTTAGTCCCTTTATTAATCCGGGGTCGCCACAGCGGAATGAACCGTCAACTTATCCCGCAAGTTTTTACGCAGTGGATGCCCTTCCAGCCGCAACCCATCTCTGGGAAACATCCACACACACATTCACACACACACTCGTACACTACGGAAAAATTAGCCTATCCGAATCACCTGTACCGAATGTCTTTACTGTGGGGGAAACCGGAGCACCCGGAGGAAACCCACGTGAAGGCAGGGAAAACATGCAAACTCCACACAGAGACGCCAACTGAGTCGAGGGTTCGAACCAGCGACCCAACGACCTACTACCGAGCACTACCTACTGCGCCACTGCCTCGCCATTTATTCAAATTATGATGAATAATTATACCTGAAGCCATTTGTTTTCTGATTTAAAAAAGACCAAGCACTTAAGGTTGCACATATTAAAATTTTACAGTCAAGACTACATTTGTAAAAATTACCTATTTTTTTAAAGGATTAATTATGATTTAGAGCTCACTACACTTGAAATCTTAAGTTTATGCAGTTCATGGTACATAAGTTAAATTAACTCATATTTTTTAGTAGTAGGACCAAAATGCTAAATTTTAAGTTATGTTTAGTCAACTTTACTTAATTGTTTATGTAAAGACAACATAAGGATTTACAGTGAAGAGATCATAAGTAATAGCTACCTTAATTACTTGTTAGGACATGTTGTTAATTAATTTATTAATTAATTAACATTGAAGTGTAAGCTAAATGTAACCAACATGAACACATGAGCTGTTAATAATTATGTCATGACTTTACTTGGAGGGGCACATCATCATTAACCTATTTTAACTACTCATGAACTCCTGTGTTTAAACTGCATAATGAGTTCATAAGTTGTTAAAATTGGTTAATGATGATGTGCCCTCCAAGTAAAGTCATGGTACAGTAACATATCATGAGTTAATGATGGTTAATTTAAGCAAAACTAACGTGATAATAATACATTAATTAATACAATAATAACAAACAATCAAGTACTAACAAGTATTCAGATGTGACTCATGTTGTAATTAAAGATGATTATTTTATGATTCACTGATTATTCTAACTCATTAATTCATAACAAAACAATGTTTATCTTACATATTAACACATCATTATTCATGTACTGTTTTTGTAAAATGTTACAGATATTACTTTTTGAACTGAAAACATGTAGATAAAAGCTTTCGGGATATCATTTGTATCTAGTTGAATGTACTGCTGCTTTATCCTTTATAGTCAAAGACCTGGGTGATTTATCTGACAGCAACTTGACTCCTGAAAATCATATTTCATGCTACAAAAACAGCCACCTTCCACTTCAGAAACATTTCCAAGCAACAGAACATGTTGTGGGTTTCTGATGCTGAATAGCTCAGTTCATGCATTCATGACCTTACGACTCAATTATTGTAATGCTCTATTAGCCGGTTGTTCAGCATCTTCAATAAACAAGTTATAGTTCGTCCAGAACGCAGCTGAAGAGTTGCTGCCAGGTCAGGGAGATATGATCGTATCACCTCAATTTAATCTTCTCTACACTGACTACCTATAATGTTCCCTATTGATGCTAAAATACCAATACTTATATACAAAGGCTTAAATGGCTTCTGTGAACTTAATCTTTTATCACTATAATCTGGAAAAGACACACAGTCCAAATGAAAATAAAGACATATTTCTTTTTAAACAGTCACATGACGTATTTCTAGACTCCACACTACAGCCATTTCAAAGCAAAAACAGTTTATCTTTGATTGAAATGTTAGGAACAGCAGCCACATTTTCTGCTTCTACCTTGAGATACCCACCCTGGGGTAAGTGGAGAACATGCCAGCTGCAGTTTTGGATCCAAATTTTTGGGATGTTGATATTGTTTGAATACCATTATACCTGCAGTATTACCTGACAGTATTATCACAGAATTTCTGCAATATGGACATTACTTTGACATGGTGACTACTAGGGCCTTATCATACACTCAATAAAGTGCAAGATGCGTTTGGCACGATTTGTTGCTATTTTTAGACCAGCGCAACTGTGATTTTCATGTTTTGCGCCACATTGTTTAAATAGCAAATCCATTTGCACTACTTAGTGGACTCATGGGTGTCCCAGTCTGAAAAGGAAGTGTGTTTAGATGCATTGTTGGCACGTTGCTATTTTGAGGAACTGAAATAGACTGCGCTACTGACCAATTAACAGCTGGTCTAAAGTCCAGCGCAGAGCAGTTAATTATGCACCTAAGCAGGTCCACACACTTACACATAGCTTAACACACACAGGATGTACAGCGATACACAAATATCTTTACATATGAAGATAATTATAGAATTAAAATGCTACTAAATTGTATATTTTCTACATAAATATAAAAACCACTGCCTCCATGCCTTCTTAATCTCAGGGGGCTTTTTTCAGTTTATTCATGACAATTTGCAATTGTGTAGTGTCATAATTCATTCATTCATTCATTTTCTTTTCAGCTTAGTCCCTATATTAATTTGGGGTCGCCACAGCGTAATGAACCGCCAACTTATCCAGCATGTTTTTATGCAGCGGATGCCCTTCCAGCCACAACCCATCTTTGGGAAACATCCACACACACAATCATTCAC